GGCCATAGCCAGTCTTCCTTCCTCATTCCCTTCTTCCCCACCCCAACCTCCACCCACTTGCCTTGCTCCCACTGTCCTGGCCATAGCCAGTCTTCTTGGTCATGGTCATGGTCATGTTGGACCCACAGGCAGCTTCTGGTGATCACTCACCCTGCTGGGCTCTGTTCATTATTGTGTGAGTGCACATCACCAGCTTCCAAACACATAGCTACTGTAGTCTCAGGGAGACCAGCCTCTCCCCAGGTGCCCTGAGAGCTCAGAAATACAATCCCACTTTTCCTACTTAGTTCCTCTTGTACCTATACAGGGCAGAGGAGCCTTTATGCCTAGCCCATCTAACTCAAGCCCTTAACTCCCAAAATACTATTCTGGAGCACAGGCCACGTCAGCATGTCTTCAAGATGATCAACTTGTTACTTTATTATCTAGCCCTAACTGAGCTGGAATATGCCCAATCCAGGGCCCTTCTAGGCAGTGGACTCTGAGAGCGTGACTCTGGGGATTTTACGTGCCGTCCTGGAAACTTCCAGTGACCTGTGGCCCAGACTGCCCATGGAAGGGGATAGCCCTTGCTGGGGATGTCAGGTCTTACTGCTCTACATTCTACTTACTCGCCTGCAGCACTCAGCAACACATACTGCAGAATACACAGGAGGGGATCAGAATATAGAATACAGGAAGAACTGAACTTAAATTCAGGAGTTGGAGGAAATGCCCTCTGTATTGCTCATGCCGAGACTGCTGATCAGTCAGGAGCTGCTGGCCTAAAGGCCAGTCCCCACACACTGTCACTTCCCCCTGGAGCCACATGGGGGGGTTCATGTAGCACTTTCTGCTGTACTTTTTCTTTGCTCACAGAAACCACCCTCTAAGGTAAGGGTTGGCATAATTGACATTTCACCCTTAGGGATTAAATAACTTCCAAGTGAGTGAGCTGGAACCCTACCCAGTCTTCTCTAACTCAGCACTCTTGCCCTATAAGGGTAACTGTTTTTAATTGTCCTCAAATTACAGATCTTACCTTTTCCTTGTAAACACATCCTTACGCAATCACTCCCCAGTCAGAGTGATAATCAGTTAATTTCTGGTGGTCTAATACTCCTGCCAAGTTAAATTCCTTCCACATACTCCCCATATAATTCTTTTCTCTTCTGGTAGGTTCTGGATTAATTACTCAACCCCTTAACAAGCCCATACCCCCTTCTTTACATTGAATTCATCAGTCAAAGGTGAAAATTTCTGTGTATGAGACAAATTGCAGGACTTCCATAAAATGTAAAACAAGTTTTACAAGGAAAAATCAAAATATTCACATTTAAATATTTTAGAATTGTTACTTTCTATGGAAATTATGTACTTAGCATATAGCCTACAAACAAATAGTATGAAAGAGAAACTACCCTTGCCTTTTGACTATCTTCTGTAAAGGAAAATATTTCACATTATCTTTGTTAGTTATACTTGTTCCTGAATTACTCAAACTGATGCTCTTTTCCTGGGAACAGAGTCATCAGCTCACTTCTTATAAAACCCACCTTTCCAGTCCGGCCTCCTGGGGGGGTGAAAGAGATGATGTGGGGGCGGAGGGCAGAGCTGGTCCAGGGGAAGGTCTAGAGTGATAAGAGTTGGTGCCAAAGTTGCTGTACCTAAAAAGTGCAGAGGTTTATACGGGAAAAGACGGAGAAGTTAAGTACAAGTCATTAAGTCATTTATTAATCAATGTATTAAGTCATTATTAATCAAGTCATTAAGTCTTAATTATCAAAGTAACTTTTCAAAAATAGGTCCTGCAATGCTAGCCCTGTTAGTCTTTTTAAGTTAGAATAATCACTAAGCTCTTTTGTCTATGATTATTTCTTACTAGACCAGTCTCCTGAAGTTCAAAGTCATTAGGTAGCAGGGTTTATAACCAAGGATTTCAACAAAACCTTCATGTTTTCAGTCTTAAAATATACACTGTATATTTGGTAACATAAATTAAGACTCCAAATTACCTGCTTTTGAATCATGAAATATTTTTAGTGTTTTATGGAGGTGTAATTCCATCAACGGTCTATAGAAAATACAAATGATTAACTAAAGTAATATCTGATTAAAAATTCTGCTTTAGAAAAAAAAAATCTGCTTCAGGTATTTCTGAATCAGTTTCATTCATTAAATATAACCTCATCACATGCTGGGTGACCAAGGATAAACTGCCCCTAGACATTTAGCCCAGAAGAAATTGTATCTACTTTGTCATCTGCATTTCCCCAGAACCAAAATTATAGCCACTACAGTTTAAAGAAGCCTTATCATTTCTCAGTCATCTTGAATAAATGTTGGGATTTGGAAAATTCTAGAGCTTTCTATTTTTAAAAAAAGATACGCATTGGCAGTGTGTATTTAGCTGTCATCACTCAGTAAGTTACCAGAAAAAAAAAATCATTTGAAGTCTTTATTTGGGGATGGACACCATGGTTATTTATAAATATGATACAGAGGTTTTTGCCACTTTACCTCTTCAGCCATCAACTTGGGGGCTTTACCCTAAAATAATTAGGACACTGAGTTGGGGGATGTGGGAACCCAAGGCTCAAAGAATCTAAGTGCACACAATCAGTGGAAAACTGATAGAAATCAGTACAGTAAGAACTCAACATGTTGAAACGTTCTTGGAAACTAGTTTTAAGCAAAGTGATATGTAATGACATCAGTGCACTATAGGCTGGCTAATATAAACAAGAGTTAATTTCCTATGTCATAGTTTTGACCACACACACACACAAATCCCCAAACTTTTGAGTAAAGACCCCCAAACACTCTTACTATAAACCAATAATTCATATACATTCATTGTGCTACCCACATATTCCAGTTCAGGAGCAGGGAACACGGACCGTCACAGCAGTTCAATGGGCCAGGCATGAACCGTCCATGAACATCACACCCTTCCCCTGCAGGGCACACTCCCCCACACAAGCACACTCAGACTGGGGCAGTTTAGAGCATGCCAATGAACCCAAAGGTGCACATGAGGATGAGGGTGTGGATTTAGGACAAGGGAGGGACTGAAGCACACAGAGAAAATTTATAGATATGGGCAGAATGTGCAAACTCACATATACAATGGCTATTATGCTCTGTGTACTCTAACAAATTTTATATTTGCTTATAACAATGTTAGAGCAAAAGATTGCTGAATGAAATTGTTATTCAAGGATCTTCTGCACTGACCATTATGGGAAAGAGTTTGACTTTCAAAATGTGGATATGCTTTGACACAGTAAATTTACTACGGGGAAGCTAACATAACCTCTAGGTTATTTAAATATTGAAAGTTTTAGGCACAGATATACTCATGGAAGCATTACTTACCTCATAGAAGAACTCAGAAATTACTCAACACAGGAATGGGTGAGTAAAGTATGAAATGTAATTCATTGAGGGAATATGATGCTCTCCTTAAAATGATTTAAAAATTTTAAGTGATAACATGGAAAATGCTTCTAGGTTGAAGTATCAGGGTATAATGCATGAAGTGTTTGGTGACAACTTTATCTCAAAGGTTAAGAATAATTAATAATGAGAAAACAGGGCATCTACTTAAAATTGTGGAATATGAGATCAAATTTGTTTCCCTTAATAAATTACATTCTAACAGGAAATAAAGTATTTGTATGACCTCAAATCTATTCTCTGTTGCTAACTCTGGTCTGCCTGGCTGCTGCTCTCTGGTTTATTTATTTGGTATTTTATGTCATGTCTGTGCTCAGTACCAGGCACTTGAGTGGTTAGGTGGATGGGAACTCATATTGCACAACTTTACACAATCATCCTTCTCTGTTAACACATGTGATTTGTCTATTGTATATGTACTTTAAATTAATTTTTGCCAAAAACTTGAGAGCTTTAAACCTCATTGATGAAACTGTGGAAGTCTCCTACATATGCCTAATTGGAAAAGCTGATTTTGAGTCAAATGAAAATTTCTGTCAGAACAAGTCAGACCCTCCTTGGTGGTGCCATGGGTTAGGATGCAGGACTTGGTTTCTGAGCATTTATTCTTTCTCCTCTTTAAAAAACCAAACATATTCAACAGGTTAACTGTTTTTCCAAGCATGTACTGATTTGATTTTTCAAGAGAGCACCTAAATCACAGACCAGGGAGACAGAGAAAGATGGAATGATGGAACATTCAAAGAAAAAAAGAAGTAGAGAAGGGAGAAAGAGCACCAGAGGAAAGAAGAGAGAGAGAGCAAGCAGCAAGGACTGTGATTTGGGGTGGGGGGAAGGAGGCTGCCCCAGGATCCTCAGTCCTCAGGCAGGAGACCCTGACTGCTCAGCTGCCTGGACTCTCAGTTTGCTGTTCTCCTTGGACATCTTAAACAATCCCTTTCCAGCCAAAGTGGACATCCTGGATAATGTTTTAACAGGATCACTTTACTAAAATTACGCTTAGATGACGTTATGGAAATAAAACCAGCACAAGTCATCTCTCTCTCCTTTGGTTTCTCTGATGGCTGAGCAGTGAGTTCAGATGCCTCCCAGTTTGTTTGGCTTTGCTTCTCTGTTTCAAACTCACTGAATCATAAAATTCACCGAAGTGCTATTTAGTTTGGTGGTTTGATTCTTTGTAATGGGCTCTATTATAATCCATTCGACTTCAGTCAACCATCATTCCATCAATTTGGTGGCTGTAGACACCACAAAAACCAGTGAATGAACATCTGACAGTTAATGGGTATAACAATATTTATACAATATTCAAATTCCTGTCTCCTAAATGGTTAAAATTTTTAAACTTCTCACAATTAAATCGAAGTCAGTCCTCATTTATAAGTAATGCAGCTGTTTTCCTCAGTTGACACATATATTCATTTTGGCCATTTATATGTTTCTATTGCTCCTATTTCCCAAGACTGTAAGTAGCAAAGACCAGAAAAGTCCCATCAGGGGCCGGGACACCATCATCAGTCAACCTAGGAGCATCACCATGCCCTCGTGCCACTGTGCTGGCTGCCAAGATGTTTTATTCCAATGTATGGCTCCCAACTTGCATAGTTATGGCTTGAAGGGCAATGTCCTGCATTTAGGAACAAAAGGGACTCTCTCCCCCAAGCTGAATGAGAAGACAGGGAAGCATCTGTAGAAATTCCCTTCGAAACACTGAAGGAGAAAGCAGAATTCTGTCTACCCAGGGACAAACTCCAAGCTGGGCCTCCTACTTTCCTCTAACTGCCCATCAGCCTGCCTGAAATTCAGACCTCAGAGGTGCAAGGGCTATCACAAGCACAGCTACTAACTTATTGGGATTGAAACCTGATGTCAGACTTCTGACAGAAATTAAGTTTCATTTGACTCAAGATCAGCTTTTCAATTAGACTTATGTAGGAGACTTCCACAATTTCATCAATGAGATTTATAGCTCCCAGCTTTTTGACAAAAATTTAATTTAAAGTACATATACAACAGACAAATTATGTCCTTTACTATTCACTCATGATTAGAAAACAAATTGAGAAATAAGTAGCCACTTAACACTTTGAGGGAAGTTTCAAAATTCTTTCAGGTTGTATGTAAGTCAACAGGTTGAGATCCACAGTTCTTGGGGAATTCGCTGGATGGAAAGTCTGGTACCCACTGCAACTGGGCACTTTTGTGGTGTGAAAGCATTGCCTGGTAGGTCTGGGCTTTGCCTCTGTACAAGACAAAGTATATCTTCTTGCTGAGGTCAAGAAGACCCAAGACAAAGATTCTGACAAATTGCGTGGATGTGCCTGATGGACAACCCCCCACCCCATGCCCCGGGGAGTAAGCCCCTGGAATTTAGAGTTGATATGCATGAGCTCAGAGGGAGAGCCACCACAGACTGTCACAAAGAGAGCTGGCCCAATATATAGATGAACGCCAGACTCGGGCGCAAGCTAACCTGGACAGCCCACTTCCTACTCGCTCTGTGTCTCAGTTTGCACACTGCAAATAAGGACTAGAAACAGGATCTACTCTTGAGGGTTGAGTGATACTTAAAGCACCACTTTCATGGAGAGTCTAGGGCCCAGCTCATAATACATATTCAATGACTGTTAACGATAACTATTATTACTCTCAGATTGGGTGACCATCGTTATCATCAGTAATTGATTTTGGACAGTTGAATGTGCAAAACACACAAGCTCTGTTCCTTGTTCCTCCCTCTGCAGAGTCCCTAATACAGAAGAGAGTGAAAGGGAGGCACACCAGCCAGCCAACAGCACCACCTGCTAAAAACTGAGGCTACGGTTTTCATTTGCACACCTTGCTCCCTCTGCCTGCCTGTATGAGAACTACTGAAGTGTTTGCAGTTCAATGATACAGTTATATTGATGTCTATGGAGTGATTCACACTGCAATTGTTTGCCATCTCATGGGAGATTATGAGTAATCTTCAAACAGAAAAATGCATACATTGGAGTAAAGTCAGAATGTTACAGAAAACAATAAAAAGACACTCACCTGTTAGAAGAGAAAGACCGGAAGTTGTAAAGCCCAGAGGCTGAATATACACTTAAGTGGACAGAGTCAGAGGAACTGTTATAGGAAACCCCACTCAAAACATGGCTAGGAGACATGGCCACACCCTGCAGGTCAAGAGACCCTGCTCTAGATAGATGGGTGCAAACTGTAGAGATGCTGACAGACCAGGCATATGTTTTAAAACCACATGCTTAAAATCTACTTTTAGTAATTGTATTATAATGAAAGGGTTCCTTGATTCAAACAGATGACCGTTTTCTCCTGCATCTTGTCTAAACACAGGGAAATTTTGTCATTGGTCAGGAAATGAATCAACTGCTCTCTGTTCTGCTTGGAATCCACAAACCAAGTGCAAGGCCACATCAAGACAAAGCAGTTAGCACAGTGTCACTCCCCCGGGTTAGCCTCCCACTGGCCCACGCGAGCTGCATCTACCTGTTTTCCTTCTGGGACTCGGCTTCCTTCTCCTTGGTGGATATGGGTGAATCCTCAAAGTCATAGGAGAAGAGGTGGAAGGGGGTGTGGGGCACGTAGGGCAGTTTCTCTATGGTAGGTGACACCTTCGGGGGGGCAGGTGCAGTAGAGGAGGGCCGAGAGGCTGAGGCCCGGGGTGGGGGAGACAGCAGAGCAGGCCCGGAGGACCCACAGCACAAGGGGCTCCCCACTGCTGTGCTGGCCGGCAGCTGCTTTCCCTGCAAGGTGGTGCTGGAGGCAGTGGCTGAACTCTGGGGAGCAGCATCCTTCTCTGGGGGGTTCTGTTCTGAGGCAGGGCTGACCTGGCTGCTGGACCAGCAATGAGGAGAGAAAAAGAGGAGAAAGAAGGGGAAGGAAAGAGGTTTGGGAGAAAGGGAGCAAATGTTAGGAAAGAGAAAAGGCGTCATGTAAAACCCCATTTTACCACTACCACTCACTTCAGAATCCAGCTGTTTTTCAAACTGGAGCATAAAAGTGCAACACCAGACAATCTGGTTTGGCCAATATTCCTGGGCTGGCCAATCTAGGCAGTAGGACCCATTTGGCCACTTATATCCAAAGGCCTTCGCAAGGGAATCACGGAGGCCTTCTGCACCACTCTGGCTGTGTTGGCACCTGAGTCTCCAATATTCGAACTGCAGAACTTTACCTTGGTCAAGCAGAGGCTCTGTCCTAAAAAGCCCAGGCCTGAGGAAATGGGCTGCTACAAGGCCTGTACTTCATTAACTGCTTTTAGAGCCTTGCTAGAAAGCAAGTAAGGAGAAGAGAACAAATCTCAGTAAGAAAGGCAAAGAGCGCCAAAGAAGGGGCCGGCACCATATAAACTTCATGCTTTTCCCAGGTTATCCTTTACCACTAAGCCCTCAACATCTACATTCCTGGGTAGGTTTAATTTTATCGGTTACAGCCATGTAAGACTTTTAATCTGAGAGGACTGGGTTTAGACCACTTCCAGTTTGACATATACCTTTACACCCTGAGCATCTATGTTAAATTTTACATTTTTAGAAACCACTCTCCCTTTCCTGCAGAACTTGACTCCTGGCCATGCCCATTTGGGAATGGAATGTTAGATATTTCTCCTGCTATCTCACATTTAGAGCTTCATCTGGGGACATACTGATTTCCCTGACTCGACAAGAGGATGGGCTGAGACTACCCTGACACACTCAGCACATGTAGTGCACACACAATGCACACACATCACAGGCACAGGCAGTGGACACACAAAAGGCAGCAGCCGGCAGTGGCAACAGTGAAAGACTAAGCAGACATGAGCAGGAATTGTTATTGGCATTTTAAAGTGTAACAGATTTATGTCAGGGAACACATGGGGGTCCATAATAATGTCAATGAATGCTTTAGGCAGGGTCAAGTTCAAATCCCGGTGTTTAATATGCATGCCTTTATCCCTTCACGCTGGAAAGCCTAACTAATAACATAGCTAATCAAGGGTGCCCTGCAACATCAGTTCATAAATCAAAGACACTTCAGAGTGTAGGATAATCAACTATTTATCTGATTAAAACAGACAGCATCAACAAAAATGACTTTGAAGGTTGTCCTTTCTGGCTAGATTCTTCCATTTAGTATGTAGATAATGAACCATAACAGTCACTCAGGGTTGAAGGGCTGTGTTGGTGAAACAGAACTTGCATACTGCAGCATGTATTTATAAAAAGTCTACATGATTCCCTGTGCCTAATTTTCAACCTATGTTAGATCTGTCAACTAACTTCCCTCCCTCCAGAACACTAATGAAAAAGTCACTATCCCCAAGCAGGGTGTGTAAGGGGCTTTATTAATGTCATCTTTCTCTCCTCTCATTCTGCAAAGGGCTATGTACACAGTCACCAGTTCATTCCTTTTCTCCACCTTGCTTATTTTTTCCCAGACATTTCCAAAGTGTGGGGGGTGGGGGGTCATTTTTAGTTTGTTAGCTCAGAGGAGGTTTCAAGACCCTCCAGGAATAGTAGGCTCCTTAACATGTCAAAAGAGTCTGCTAGGGGACTTTCATTTGCCATGGGAGCCTAGAGAGACAGGATACAGAAGCAAAGAATCACATGGACTTTGAAGTTTGTAAGAGAAAGTTCTTACCCAAATTCACTCAAGATCCTTTGATTTTGCTTATTTGTGGAAACACTCACAGTGAAAATGTCACTTTCCAGTAGGAAGCAAGTAGGTGAAGGCAACTATTCAATTTTAGAATTATTTCTGAATATAAAACAAAATTACCTGTGATCAATTTTTATTTTTAATCAGGCATCACTTTGGAAAGATACTACAAAATATTTCAAAATGTGTGCAAATTGCCTGTGTCTGTTAACAGTCTGAAGAAAGAAAAGACTGACCTTAGAGAGGTGAGCAGAGGCTAACAAGGGTGGTAGCACTGTTAGCTCTTCTAGGTGTAAAAATAAATATTGGGACATTTTTCTGTGTTCTGTGTGGTCAAGAGTGTTCTTGTCCCTTTGAATAAAAAACAACCTTGCATCTTTACACAGTAGTTACCCACTACTTTTATCTAATTACATTTTATCTAATATACTGATAAAATTAGTAGGAAAAGGCACCCACAGAATTATTTTTACTACAGTGTGCTAAAGGGTTAAAGTTTTCTGAACAGAGATGGAGATCATTCAAGTCACTATCAGTCTGACTGCGCAGAAGTACTCAGTGAGGGAGGGAATATTGGGGAGAAAACAAACTGGATGATGTTTCTTTAAAACATGGTTAAGAAGACAGCATTTGAATGAAAAGTGACATTCTCTAGTGAAACACGTTCAGTTTTTTCTATGAAACGAGTCCTTGTGGTTCTGTGCATAGGATCAGTAAAGTTTTGCCAGTGGGAGCTAGTGGGGAATGGAGGAGACTACTGAAAGGTGACTGCGGACTATCTGCTAAGAAGGTGCCTCGCATTTTTAGTAAGTGCCTGGGAGGTCCAGCCCTCGGTACCTGTCCTTGCCCTGACTTGGGGCAAGGGCATCGTCCTCTCTCTCTTCCTCTGAATTGGGCTCCGTGACTGGCTGCTCTTCCTCTTCCTCCTCCTCCTCCACCTGAGGCCTGAGACAAGGCCAGAAAAGAAAAATACACACAGAGACAAGACAGAAAAGTGAGATAAACACTACAGACAAACAGGAAGATGAAACAAAGGGTGGGGGATGGTGGAGAAAGCTGACTGAAATGAAAAGAACACATTCAACCTATTAGGAGAGAGAAGAAAGATCTGAGAAATATCTGGGAAATTTAAATGCGGGGCTAAGAGAAAATAACCCACCACAGACCATACATCTTTGTCAAGTCTGCTGCATGCCACTACCCTGCTTGCTCCCCATTTCTCTCCCATCTCCCTACACAGGTGCTGGCCCTGGACAGATAGATAGTGGAGTCCTTAGCTTGTAGGTAGATAGGAAGGAAGGTAGGGAGGAGAAGAGGGAGAAAGGGAGAGGGAGAGGGAGAGGGAGAGGGGAAGGTAGGGAGGGGAGGGAGGGGG